ATTCCAAGGCTAGGATTTTTTTTCAAGTATAATTAACATACAGCTTTATATTAGTTTCGGGTGTACAATATCATAATTCAACAATTCTATACATTTCTCAGTGTCCATTAAGATGAGTGTACTGTAAACCTCTTTATCTATTTCACCCATCCCCCCCCACCTCCTTTCTGGCAACCACCAGTTCTCTGTATTTAAGAGTCCAGTTTTTTGTTCGTCTATTTTTTTTCTTTGTTCATTTGTTTTATTTCTTAACTTCCATATATGAATGAAACCATTGATATTTCTCTCTCTCTGACTGACTGACTGATTTCACTCAGCACTATACCCTGTAGGTCTGTCCATGTTATTGCAAATGGCAAGATTTCATTCTTTTTTATGGCTGAGTAATATTCTATTTTCTATATAAACCAAAGTTAGGATTTTTAACTGTTCAACTCTACTGCTTTGAACTAAATGACTGTTTATCTTAAGTAAATTAAATGCATTTTTCAAGATTTCTAGGCTGAATGAAATTCCTTTCCTAAGTGCCCGACTTTAACAAAAAAAGATTTAAGGACCTTTCCTTGGTGTTTTATTATCCCACTTTACAGATAAAAATCAATGACTTAGGGATGCCTGGGTGGCTCAGTCGTTAAGGGTCTGCCTTCAGCTCAGGTCATGATCTCAGAGTCCTGGGATCAAGTCCCACACCAGGGCTCCCTGCTCAGTAGGGAACCTGCCTCTCCCTATGCCCTTCCCCCTGCTTGTGTGCATTCTCTCTGTCTCTTTCAAATAAATAAATAAATAAAATCTTTTTAAAAAGAAAGAAAGAAAGAAAGGAAGAAAGAAAGAAAGAAAATCAATGACTTAGCCAAAATCTTAGTTTAGTAAGTGGCATGTTAGAACTAGAGCTTAGGTCCTCTGGTTTCTAGTCTACTGCTTTTGGCAGTTTAACACAATCACATTTTAGCTCATTAGCTACCTTCCATTCAAGTGATCCACCCAGGTTGAAATTTTGTTCAGCATTAAAAACATGCCCACTTCCTTCATATTTAAGGGCACTTTCCTGTCTGTCCTAGAATTCCATTTGGTCAGCAAATAAGTCTCTGGTTTACAATGTTTACACCTTAAGGAGAGACACATGAAGACATAGTGACAGACGCACCTATGGATACAAGGGACATCTATTAAAAGCATCTAATTTTTTTTAATTTTTTTATTATTTTATAAACATATAATGTATTATTAGCCCCAGGGGTACAGGTCTGTGAATCGCCACAGAATTACACACTTCACAGCACTCACCATATCACATACCCTCCCCAATGTCCATAACCCCACCACTCTCTCCCTATCCCCCTCCCCCTGTCACCCTCAGTTAGTTTTGTGACAGTGAGTGTCTCTTATGGTTTGTCTCCCTCCTGATCCCATCTTGTTTCATTTATTCTTTTCCTAACCCCCAAACCCTCCATGTTGTATCTCCACTTCCTCATATCAGGGAGATCATATGATAGTTGTCGTTCTCTGATTGACTTATTTTGCTAAGCATAATACCCTAGTTATATCCATGTCATCGCAAATGGCAAGATTTCATTTCTTTTGGTGGCTGCATAGTATTCCATTGTATATATATATACCACATCCTCTTTATCTATTCATCTGTTGATGAACATCTAGGTTCTTTCCATAGTTTGGCTATTGTGGACATTGCTGCTATAAACATTCGGGTGCACGTGCCCCTTCGGATCACTACGTTTATATCTTTAGGGTAAATACCCAGTAGTGCAATTAAAAGCATCTAATATTTTTAACATATAATTCTATAAAAACTTAATTTGGTCATAGCTAATGCTGTGAAGAGCCAAATAACATTTTAAAAATTCATATTTCTGGGGCTCCTGGGTGGCTCAGTGGGTTAAAGCCTCTGCCTTCGGCTCAGGTCATGTTCCCAGGGTCCTGGGATCGAGCCCCGCATCCGGCTCTCTGCTCAGCGGGAAGCCTGCTTCCTCCTCTCTCGATCTCTCTCTGCCTGCCTCTCTGCCTACTTGTGATCTCTGTCTGTCAAATAAGTAAATAAAATCTAAAAAAATAAAATAAAATCTTTAAAAAAATAAAATATTCATATTTCTGAGCCTTGAAATGGTCATTAAATGACATGACAAAATGTATTTTAAATCTTCTAACTCAAGCAAGAGTATGAAGATACGCAGCAATTTTTCTTCGGGGCCTTTGTGCAGATTTTTTAAAACCCCTTCTGACTTCATGTGGAGTAGAAAAATAGCTTAGTTTATTTCATGTTGCTCAGTCTAATTTGGAATCATTTTTGAATTCCTAGATGCTTGGGTACAGAGAGCTTGCTCCCTAGAGCCTTGTTTCCTGACAGTGGAGAGTAAAGGATTAAATTGAGCTGAAACTAAATTGATTGACATTTTGACACTCTGCAGATCATGAAAAGAAAGGGAATTTGTTCAGCTTTTTAAGACAGTAGCAGAAAGAACTGTTCCCTTAAAAGTACCCCAGTTTGCAAAGATGATTTAGTTTTTTTCTTAAAAAAAAAAAAATTATGAAGCACGTTCTAGCACTTTCCCAATTTCCTATCTTACAGTTCAAAGCGAGAATTTAACTTTGAAAGCTTTTGAAAAGGCCTGGATGGGGTGTTAAAATAGACTCCGCTGAACAGGCACTGGCAGAGGTCTTTTGAGGGGAAAAAGACTATGCACTTCTGGGGTGTCACTACAGGAACCTATCTATAAAAGACAAATATACATATTTATGAAATCCTTATCTTTAGCGTTTTGTAAATGCCAGAGATATTAAGTGCGAATTGAGTAAGATACATTTCCTGCTGACTTCTTTTTCAGACAGATATAGATTATTACCATGCCATCATTTTCATAAACAGCATCATTTAGTACTGACTTCAATAAAATCCCATCTCTGCTGTCATGAAAGGAACTGGACTCACCTTAACAGTGCTCTTCTAAACAGTCTGCTGCCTTTTTTTGATCATTGCCAGGAGGCTGTAATAAATTACAGCCTGGAAGAAGTTTGCAACTGGCAAGTTTGCCAGATATTTAAAGCAATTTATTTTGGGGTGTATCAGCAGATTTTTTCTTATACTGCCATTTGGGTGCCTGCTGACACAGCCTGAATAAATCTTTCAAACACTTTCCTTACTAGAGATGGATGAAGATGATGATGCACTGGACTCCAGACCTTTCATTAACTCTTCACTTGCCAACTGGTTCTTTCCTATTACCAGATCTGTAGGAAACTTAGATCCCTATTTCCAGCATGAGTTTGCAATATTTCATCAAATCTCTCAATGCCTTGGCAACAACTTTAAGTTTTATGGAACGATAAACTAACAAAAGAGTTTCTGGTTTTAGGCATAAAATGTATAATTTAGATTGATTATTTCCTTTCTAGTATTTAGAAAATTGCCAAATTTCCCAAAAGGAAAAGAGATCTGAAAAGTTATATAAAACAAAGACTTGTTTCTTCTTGATTCTAGCGTATGTTGAGTCTTAAAGTGACTTGTTTCTAATTTTAGTCTCTTGTCTTATAATAGGATAGTGAAGTCATTTTTAAAAATTATTACTAATTCTGGCTCTAGGTCCAAAGACAGTTATTGATATATAATTTAGTCAGGTATTATAATTTAGTCAGAAAACCATAAAATGCACATGCCTAAAAATTTTTGGTCTGATGAGACTGGAAGGGCAAGAGATGAGGGAACCAACTTTTACTGAGTACCTGCAGCATGCCAACCCGTTTTGTAGACCACTGTATAGGATGCAGGAGAGACACTGAAGAGATTTTCATTTTATGAAGAGTTAGTTCCTGGTCAGGTGAAAGGCATTGCTCGGTGAGCTGTTAGGAACATGATAAAGCTTAATCTCGTGAAAGTATCAGGGTATAGGGCTTGGTAGGAAAAGTCCCACCTAAAACAGAAGTCATAAAACTGGGGTTCATATCTAGTGATGTCACTTACAAGTGAGGTCATCTGGCTGGACCCTGGATATTTATTTCTACATCTGTAAAGTGCGGATATACTCTCTAGCCTGTCTCTCTCTCTCCTAGATCATTTGGCACAATAGTAACCAACCATGGCAGTGCATTGCAGTCACCCAGGGAACTTTGAAAAATATTGATGTCTAAGATCTCAAACTCAAGAGATTCTGATTTGATTGGCCTGGGGTGCAGCCAGGCATTGGGGTGTTTAAAATCCCCACAAGTGATTCCTATGTGTAGCTAAGGCTGTGAATCCTTGGTTTGGAGAATCGTTGGGAAAGCCAACAATTTGTAAATTTATTTACAAAGGTCAGTAGTTGTTATGGACAATGTAAATAGGATTATTCCCCATCATAGCTTAAGCTGTTTTGCTTCAAACAAAACAAAACAAAACCAGAGACCCCGTCAGTGGCTCTTTGAGTTAAGCCTCCCACTCTTGATTTTGGAGCAGATCATGATCTCAGGGTCGTGAGATGAGCCCTGAATCCGGATGGGGTGGAGCTTACTTGGGATTCTCTCTCTCTCCCTCTTCTACTCCCACCCCCTCTTAAAAAAACAAAACAAAACAAAAAAGCTTATCTCTGAATTTCCCTGGCCTTAGTACATTGAAAACCGTTGGTAAGTATTCGTTACATTTGTGAATGAACGGCCTTTCGAAGTTTTAAGAACACTTGAAAAATGGGGTTTCAATGTGTAGAGTTGTTCAAGAAGCGGACCTTACTTACGGAAACATTCCCAAGAAACGCTGGCCTTTCTTGCCCACCCCAGGCTCGCTTCAGTCCTTAACGCGAGCCGCAACGTCTTGGTGCCCACCCTTACCCACAAACGGAGGTGCACGCAGCGGTATCCGGTGGGTGCCCCGAGGTTGGGGGCGGAGCACCCAAAGGGCCGACCCTTTGGGCTCCTGCGACTCTCCCCGCCCTCTGAGCCGGCCCGCCGCAGCGCCCCGCCCCGGACGCGGGTTGGGGCAGGCTGCTGGCGGCGCCCAGCCTCCCAGACTCCAAAGCCGAGCCCTAGGGCTGCGGCGACTGCCTCCGCGCGACCCGGAGGGCCCAGTTTGGACGCGGGGAGCCCGGGCTGCCCGCGCCTCTGGCCCGACGGAGCCCAGCGCGAGCGTCTTGTGCCGGAGCCAGGCGGGGGCCAGGATGCGGAGCTGTGCGCCTTGAGCTGGCTCCATGACCCTGAGTACGCTGGCCCGCGAGAGGAAGGCGTCCCCCGCCTGCGCCTGCACCTGCAGCCTCGGTGGCCCCGACATGATCCCTTACTTCTCCGCCAATGCGGTCATCTCGCAGAATGCCATCAACCAGCTGTGAGTGCGCCGCGCGCCCTCCCGCCCTCCACGAAAGCTGGGAAAGTTTGCTTTTCAGCAGCCGCTTTCCCCAGCATCCTGGGGAGCAAGCAAAGAAGCGAGGGCGAAATCGCACCCTGCGGGCTTAGTGGTTTCGAAGTGTCCGGGGGTATAGTGGGGGGGGGAGGTGTGGGATAATTCTTGGAGGCAGAATGTGTCCCTGGGGGTTGGGCGGATTGAAGAACCATTTGCGAGAATTTCTGGTAAACTTTTTGAGGGAATCTGAAAGTGTAGTCGTCCCTGGGATGTTGTCTGTGGTGACTGAGTGACAGTCGAGCTGGAGACTCCAGAGGTGGAGGCCCCTCTGTAGCTCCTGAAACGCCGCCCGGAAACGCTTGGACTCCCATTCGGGTCCTGGTGTGATCAAGCTCTCGTGTTTGTTGTTTGGGGGTTTTTTGTCGTTGTTTGAAATAAGTTTGCGTGTGACTGTAGGTTTCTGTTGCAAGCCGCTAACACAAAGGAAGACTGTCCATTCTTCACTCCCGCTGGTTGTAGTCTGGAATTATTTCAGAAAATTGGATTTCAGTAGTTTGGCTGTTTTACTTTTAGTCTACCCCTGTTGTAGTACAAGTCTGCTTGCACGTCCTCATTCATGAAAGTGCAAGATTCAACGCATCTTTAAATCGTCGCTGTTTTTGATGTCTCTTGGAGTTGTTGTCCTTCCCTTCCATTGTGGTTTAGCTGTTTTTGAGAAGTGTGTGCTGAAGCTTGTGATTAATCACGCCTCACGGTTATAAAGCGCAAAGTAGAGGAGCTCCCATCTATTCAAGCTGCATCCTTAAACCAGTGGAGTGGTTTAGGGTTACTTTAGGTAGCAGCAGTTTTGGTCTTTGTAATATATTAGTACTCACTCCCGAGTGGCTACTGAGGTTTTCCCAGATTAGCCGTACTTAAGCAGCACTTCTCGGTCCTTCCCAGGTCAACACTGAAAAACATTTTTTTAATGTCCAACAACAGAAACTTTCTATTATCTCTTATTAAAGGTGCCAAGATTATCATGTTAAGTGATTTATAAATAACCTTACATCTAATTTATTGTTTTAATTAATGGTTTGCTCTCCCACCAAATCAAATTAAATTCACTTGTTTCAGCTTTTTTCCTTTGTGTTGATTCATGGTAGAGCTCCTACAAAAAATAGCCACACATAAAAAAGTGGTTTTATTCCTGTGAATGTAAACTCCACAGAATTAAATCAATCACTTACTTGCACTTTTTTCTTAAAAAAAAAAAAAAAAAAAGAGTAGAAGAGAAGGAAAGGAGGGAGTAATCTGAAACTGGATAACCAATATCAAAATAATAGTGTTAACAATAACTTTATAAACTAAAAAAAAAAAAAAAAAAATAGTGGGAGCAACCCCCATGTCTATCAGTAGATAAATGGGTACAACAAAACAGTATATGTAATACAACTGAGTATTATTCAGCCTTAAAAAGGAAGGAAATTCTGACAAATGCTACAATATGGATGAATTTTGAAGACATTATTCTAAGTGAAGTAAGTTAGTGACAAAAGACTAATATTGTGTGATTCCCCTTATATGAGGTACCTCAAGTAATCCCCAGGAGTTGGGGGAGGGGGAATGAGAAGTTTGTGTTTAATAGATTGACTTTCATTTCAGAAAGAAGAAAAAGTTTTGAGGATGGATGGTGATGAAGGTGGCGCAACGATGTGACTATATTTAAAGGCACTTTAAATTGGTTAAAATGGAAAATTTTATGTTGTGTATATTTAACTGCAATTTTAAAAAGGATTAAACAATTTAAAAGGCAGAGCTCCTAAGCTTTTGGGAGGAAAAGGAATTTTGAGTTTTAGTTCCTAGTAGAATCACATTAAGCCCAAATTTCTTTTCCTACTAATTACTGTCTTTGGGTAAATCATTTGATTTCAGTTTCTTCCACTATAAAATGAAATTCCTACCCCAGGGGATCATAAGAGATTATATCTGCCAGTAATACTTTGCAAACTATAAATCCCTGCACAAAAAAACGAGTTAATTGAAATTAAATAATAACTAATAGCTTCCATTTGTTGACTGCTTGTCACTGTGCTAAGAGTTTAATGTATACTGTCTCATTTAATCATAACAGCAACTTTATGTTTATTTAGATGATGAAACTGAGACTTAAAGAAGTTAAGTAATTGCTTATGGCCATATAGCTAGTAAATGACAAAACTCTCCTTAGAAAATCCAGATCTGTTTCCCACAGTGGTGCTCTCAACCACTGTAAAAATTATATTCTTAGTAGTTGCAAGGCCACTTTTGAGACTTAATCTTAGGAAATGCCCTTAACTGCTGACATTTTCACTTAGTGAAAACCATATTTGCTACACTAAGATTTGCTAAGGTGGACAATCTTTTAAAGAATTTGCAGACTATTTCTCTTTCGTTTTTGTCTTTTGCCACTTATTTTTTTTCTTACAAGAGACTTAATATCCAAATTTCACTTCTAAAATGTATCCATTAATATTAAGTTAGCCATCATTTTTATTTTGCATTTATAGTGTCACTGAGTTCATCATCATTTAAAAAATCTTTAGGGATAATTCTGATAAAAATAAAACCAAAAATTTTGTTAAAACATGCATTTTGGGTACATAATGCAAAAGTTTTTAATTTAGGGTCCATGGTCACCCATAGTTTTATGAATTGGCTTTAGGAAGTTAGTAAACACCTTGAGATTGTATGAAAATGTTGTGCAGATAAATATATTTTTAAAACAAGATTCTGAAAGTAAGGTGATCTTATAAAAAGTTAATCTCTTTCCTAAAAGGAAGTATTATTTCTAAGGCTTACTACTGTAAAGCTCAACTGGTGTGAGCATATCCCTGTCATGCCAGATGTATAAATAGCAGCAACTGGTGGGAGCAACTAAAAGATTTAATGATTTAGGATCCTAAGTGAAGACTGACTCAAAAAAAAATTTAAGTGGATGTTTGCAGAAGGGGGTACCTTGACACATCACTAGTCTTAACCAGATGTTTCTCTTGTCACTGCTGTGAACCCACTCATAAGAACTTATTTTATTCTCATTTGCTACCTCAGATTTGCTGTGGGTTTAGAAACCAAGTAACAAACCCTATGAGATCTCTGTCAAAGGAAAAAGGCTGGAGTAGTAGAGTGAGATCCTAGGAGGCTCTCCTATGGAGAAAGTTCATGACCTTTAGAATGTGGTGTTTAGACACCTATTTGGTGATTTCACAGGCTCACTCTAATTTCTGGACTTTCAGCTGCTTTATATATAGATGAAATTAGAGAATAGCGGGGTATTCCTGTATTTTATTGGCGATTATATCATCATTATTAGATTATGGACTCCCTTTGTCATTGCATAAAACTCACCAAATATGGAGTTAATTTTGAAGTATCAATGAAGGACATTAAGAAGTGATTAAAGTCACTCCAGAAACTAAGAATGGTTACTGTCATAAATTTAAGTCCTACTAGAAAAAAATATGCGAGCAGCCCAGAGCATCATGTAATCAAATTTCAGGGGTCTTAGATCAGACTACTCAAATAATCATGAAAAGTTCCATACCCTTTAAGAGTATATACACATACTTTCTAATAAAATAGAAATCAGAATTTCTGAACAATATGGCAGCCTGTCTTGTTTTTAGAGAGCCAGCATTCAATCCCTGAGAAATGGCCTCTAAGCAAGAGGCCTTCTAGTGATTGGTATATGCTAAGCAGCTTATCAAATAGGTGGCTATTTTTGTGTCCTACAAAGTTCAGAGAAAGATCAAGAATTATTAGATAAAATGCTGGCATAGACTACCATTAAAACGGAAATCATAATTTCCCATTATGAAAACCTCTGATCAGAAATCTTAGAATTTAAGTGCTGGGGCCATTGCTTGATTTGTTAAACAGGTTATGTTGAACTTTTTATCCTTGACCTCAAATACTTGTATTTATTACTGGATTTCATATATGAGCTTGATTTCCTAGATTCATTTCAAGGCTTTTTAAAGCTCAAGCTTAGCACCAGGAACATATCCAGATGATTATCCAAAACATAACTTTTTGTGAAACTGAAAGGTGGAAACTATTTTAATTTTTGTGTCAAGTAGTATTAGTACTAGTACTCTTTCCGTTCTGCTCTGTAGTTATCCAGGTGACTTCATAAGTGCTCATTTCTGAACTTAAGCTTGTATTAGAGTCATGTAGACAACTTATTAAAACACAAATTGCTGTCTGGGCACCTGGGGAGCTTGGTCAGTTAACCATCTGATTCTTGGTTTCTGCTCAGGTCATGATCTCAGAGTGTTGAGATCAAGTCCTATGTGGGCCTGGGCCTGGAGCTTGCTTAAGATTCTCTCTCTTACTCTCCCTCTGCTCCTCCCCCCCCAAAAAAAACAAAAACAAAAAACCACAGATTGCTGCCCACACCCCCAGTTTCTGATTCAGTAGGTCTTGGGTGGGATGGATAATTTGCATTTCTAACAAGTTCCTAGATGATGCTGGTCCAGGAACTAACCACACTTTGAGAACCACATCCTTAAAGTATTCCTCTGAGGCAGATTGGGCAAGTCATCATCCCACATTTTGTGGAGTAATAAACTAACAAAATTAAAATGGTGAAGTGATTTTTTGCATAGCAGTTATGATTTGTTATTGGTAGAACTGAAACTAGAACCAGCATTTCCTGTCTCCAAATACAGAGCTTCTGCAGTTCTACACTGTACTGATATCTTCGTATACATGTGGGACCATTTCTTTAGATAAATTTCTAGCAGTGGAATTTCTGGGTCTGATGGTATGTATATGTTAAATATTTGATGCATACTGCCAAACTGCCTTCTAAAAAGGCTTTGCCAATTTGCTCTTAACAGCTGTAAGACTATACCTTCGCCAACCCTGGTAATATTAATAACAATATTAAATAGCAATTTTTTATTAAACTCTTACTATGTACAAGGCATTATTTTGAATACTGTTCATATTGTCTAATTTTTTCT